TGTATATATATATATATTTTTTTTTTTAAATGTGTATCATCTTGTTTTTCTGCAGAGAATACCAGAGGAGCTAACCTTAGATGCCTTACTAGAAATGAATGAGTCAAAGGTGAAAGAAACAATGAAGAGATGTGGTGCCAGAGACGAGGAGTGCTCCAGACTCAATGGGGCACTGAGCTGCTTACGGAAGGCAACTGAATCAGGTACAGCCTGCCTTATTGTTCTATGGAATTAGTTCTCAACAATCCAGCCCCAATCCTGCTTCTCTTCATATGAGACAATCTGAAAAATCCTCTAGAGAATGTCTTTGGGTATATTCTGTAACCCAGGATCAGGTTTTAGCTCTTGGATGTACATGAAGTTGCAGTGATCAGACGCATCTAGAGCTATGGATTGGATTTGGTTCTGACAGCATGTCAAATAAATAACAAAATGGAAATAAATGTATGTAGAAATATCCTCTCTTACTCAGTAAACTACATCCTTATTCCCTCTCTGTTGTTGTGTCTAACGCTCCAATTATCCTCCATCATTCAGCACACATATCCTTGACCTAACGAATACAGCCAGATTTCTTGTAGGCAATCCTCTCCTCAAATACTGCTAGCTCAGAGAGAAGGTGTAATTCTCTTTGGCGTTTCTTTGCTCAGAAGCCTGAGTATTGTTCAGCTCAATGCTTTGGAAGAGAAGAACATTGTTCTGACAACCCCCTATCACTGCGTAGCTTCTGGTGTGCCAGTTGATTCACTTCTCTTTAAAACTGCTTGCCTCCTGCTATCTTTCTTTGACTGCTGACATTGATAGAATCAGTAGCCACATTCCAAGAGCAGATTCAAGAGCTAGAAAGAACCCTGATTTACCCTGAAATTATGGAAAGAAAGGTACTGTGTAATTAGAAATGTGTTTGTTCAACATGCAAATAGATCTGACCAAGTTATTTAAGATCAGTCAGACTCAAGATTCCCAGAGTGCTGTTTCACCATCTTCCTGTCACCCTCCCCAGGCTGCTTTCAAAGGCACTGTAAAATCTGTTTGCCCAAGAGTGGTTCTCACAGCATGCTGGTACTAACGTGCACCAGGTCTTTCTTTGTAGCAGTTATCAATCTGTCACTGAAAGGTGATGTTTCCTGTTGGTATTATGACACTCCATACCATTTGCAAATCACAAAGATTAGTTAATGGAAAAGTCAGCAAACAGCTCAGTTTCATATTTCCGTTTGTCTAATCTTTCTTGTCCTGGACTGTCAAATATTTTCCATCCATACTGTGGCAAAACCAGCCATTGCAGAAGTCATGGCATTCACTTGCTATAAAGAAATTATAATTTTTAAAATCCAGGAGTATCATGTCTTTTCAACCACTGACTGGTCAACAGGACACCAGGGCCTGAAGCTTTGATTTAGGTCATTAGGGACATACTTGAAATTAAGACAGAGAGTTATCCTGATGAATTAAGCTTCTGAAATTATGCCAATAATCTGTGCCTTCTTGCTTTGCTGCCTGCAGGTGTTTGCACTTTTCTTTCCCCCATTTATACCCAGAATTCGTCCGCAAGCTGTTCTGGACCATTCTGAACCACAGTGCTAAGCATTGGAGAAGGCAGTGCAGGGCTCCACCAGCGATCCAGCAGGATGTGGTGGTTCCCTTTTGTCCAGCTGTCTGTCCCTGGTGCAGCTCTAGCTAATATAGGCTGAACAAACCCAGCAGCTCTGTAACTGAACAGCAGTGCCCGGTGCTCTGGGTCAGGTGAGCTCTGGGCACTCGGTGGCCTTTCTCGGTTTGAGTGGTATTGAGCAGTTCTGGTGGCTAATAGAAAATAGTTTCCTCTTTTTACCAAAGACCAGTCTAAAGCAGACAGGTGAGAGGCTGGAAGTACAGATTTGTCTAAGCAGACTGGCACCAAGTCCGCCCAGGCTTGCAGCGGGATGTGGGTGCCTGTTTGATGTAGGTATGTGTACCCCAATTCTTCCGTAGGGCCGCAGACTGTTAAAACTCAGCCCCTCTTAGAACGCAGGACCTGATTTTAGCTTTTGAGATACATAGCTACAGCCAGGAAAGAAGGGTAGTTCCTGCCATTCTTGTTTTAAAGGTTACTTTACCTGATGTCTTTACCTTAGATGGGTGTTGGGGAGGAGAAATGAGGCTTGCACCTGGGCTAGGTGCAAAGCAGGGGAAACCCACCTTATAGCCCAAAGCAGCGTGGGGGGGTATGTGTGCATACGTTGGCTTTTCTTTGTAATCAATCACTAACACAGCTACGGTTGGTCAACAGGTGGGGAGTTAAGAGATGATGTGCTGGTGAACCTTTCCGAGGCACGCCGAGAGAGCACCTCTGCAAACACGATGGAATCCCCCTGCTCCTCTGCACCTGCATGGACTCCCGCTGCACTACACCTTCCCAAGGGCGGCAGCCAGCAGGCGCGCTCCGTGTCAGTATCTACAGTCCCACCTGCGGATCCTCTTGCTTCCAGTTACGGACCTTCTATCTATGCAGAAAACCTCCTGGACCCTTTTGCGTTCCCCGCACACAGCGGAAGGTTAACGCCAAGGACTCCTCACAGCATCACCATCACTCCACCAACCACTCCTCAAACCAAGAGGCGACATAAGTTGAAGCCACCACGGACTCCTCCTCCCCCTTGCCGGAAGGTTTTTCAGCTGCTACCTAACTTTCCAACCCTCACAAGGAGCAAGTCTCACGAATCACAGCTGGGAAACAGGATAGATGAAGTTCCGCCCATAAAGTAAGCCTGACACCTCCTCCTTCCCCACGGGCACAGGGGGGCTGTGTTCATGCCAAACATGTGCAGCGCTCCCGTTTGACGCTGTGACAGAGCTGGTGTCCAGGTGCCTTGTCATGGTGTCACTGTAGTCTGAGAATCTCTGTCAGTGGGATATTCTACAACAACCACAAAACCCACTGTTTAATAGTGTACTTTACTTGAGATTTATTTGAATTTATTTGAAAGTGCACTTGCTGGGGAGGCTGGGATGGCTGCTGCTATTAAAGGACCCCAGCCAGTTCTCCAGCATCTAGCAGCCAGTTCCATTCTCTTCTGTCCTTAAGTGTTCCTCACAGTTCAGGTGGCTGCTATCCTTTTATGTTCTTAAGATGTATTTTAGCCGCTATTGTGAGCTTTAAAACACATTTACTACTGTATAGACAACTATAGCTCCATGAAAAGACAAACGGTCTTGGGCTACGTCTTTTTTTTGACTGATGCAGGCTTTGAGATATGCTTTTTATATGGAGGTAGGATAGAAGGTGTTAATCTAACATTCAACTCATAGTTGCAACTGGGAAAAAAATGTGCCTTCCAAGGACTCTGGCTGTCCCTAAACATGACAGAGATTAGGCTAGTATACAAGTTCTCTGGCAGGCACGGGATTATTACAATTTACCCTGACTCTCGTACACTTCACTGCCAGGCTGGAGCGGGAGCTCTACCCAGCAAAGTCTACCACCTGTAGGCAGGAAAATATTGGCTATGCAGCAACTTCAGGAGCCTGTGCAAAACCAGAGATGTTTGTAAACCCGACATCACATGCTGCAGGAAGGAGTTTCTGCTCTAGCAAAGTGTGTATCCTGTCACATGAATATGAATGTCTAAAAACACCTTTTTTTTTTTTTTTTTTTTTCTCTAGGTTCGGTAAGAGATTTTTACAGGGCTGCCCTCATTTCATTGCTGAGAGAGAAGAACCTGTCCCTGTCACCTATCTGTTGATCATCCCCGTGCAGCCCCTGGAGGTCCTCAATCGGGCCTCCTGTCCCTGAGTTTCTGTTAACTTTGGCCCGCTGGAGAACTGCAGGATGTTTACACGGTCTTTTTTTGTACCTGGTATTTCTTCATATGACAAAAGCAAGGAAAAGGAATACTGATGTTTAAAGGGTTAAAGCAAGGATTTGGGGTGTAATTGCTTCTCTGTGGCTTCAGACAGCTGTTATTGGTGCCTCTTGATACTGGAAATAACTTTGTGTCTAACCATTTGGTGTCTTTGGATATTTGTTGCCAAGTGTGTCTATAATGAAATTAGCTGCATGCAACCTTCTGAGAAGTGCTTCAGCGTGTGCTTAAATGTGGATTGCTTCCCCTGATGTTGATGAGTCTGTTCACACGTTGAAGCCTCACAGGACTAGGACTTTTGTTTTTATCCAGTAACATATCAATGCTATTCCGGCTATCCCGATGAGCCTCTGGGTGTCTGACTCCTAGACATAACCTGTAACCTTGGAAGCTGACATAAAGGGATATGGGCATCCTGGAAAGTGGCTCATCTTCTTGTAAAGTAGAAAAGTCCAAGTAAGGACATTATAGCACCACACATATATCTAATTCCTTTAAAACAAGAATCACAGAAATTATTTTCAGAAATGAAAAAGTATAGAAAGAAAATTGTAGAATGAAAATGAGAGCAGAAATCTGAGCATTTCTCTGTGGAGAGTGATACAATTTATGCAATAAATAAAAAAGGCGTTAGAATAAATTCAAATAGAAATGAAGAACTTTGCTGCTTCTATGAATTGGTCATATTGTCTGTTTTAAAATCTTTACTGTAGGCTCTTGTAATTCAATTCCAAATTTTGTTACATTGGTTAGGACTCCCCAGTAAGGGTTTAGAGATCTTAACTGACGTTAACAGCCATCTTAACTGTTGTATTATGATGAATTCAGATGACTGTGCATTTGGTTGGCCACACTAGATCAGCAATATTCCTTGAAAAAGCAACTAGCTATTCCAGCTTATTCTAAAATGCTGAAGACCACTGAAGACCTTTAAAAGTTCACAGGAATAATGATAAAAGAAGAATTTGGTGCCATCTAGGGTCAAAGAAAGAGAGTGTCTTTTTTAAAGCATTGACAGTGTCCAGCCTTGAACCTGTCTGTGTTGATGCCTGCAGATTTGAGTTTTCCCCAGATTTGCAATATGGCTATAGTTTTTATTCAGGAAATATGCCAGAATCTTAGTATTTGAGAGTTTTGGGGAAGTTATGTGGTATAAGCACTGGAGTGCTGGATGGGCATTTTAGAGTCTAGGTCTCCCCTTCTGCACTTATCAGCTGGCTAAGTGATCTCACACAAATCTTTTTATTCTTCTGAGTCACACTGGCCCTGTCTATAAAATAGAGATGATAATTTTAAGTGTAAAAGAAAATTCTGAAATCTACTGACGCTGCGTGAAAACTGGGTGATGGTATTTCTGGTAACCAATTGGGAGTAAAGTCTTCCCACCTCAAGAATGGCCCAGACCTAGTCAGATGGACTTCTGTAATCCCTAAACGTAAAACATCATGATTTAAGAAAAAGCAGGAAGAATTACGATTCCACCACCAAATCTTATCTTACATTGCCTCCATATGAAAACAGTCAAAGAGTAGTCTCTGGTAGCAGCTTTAAAGCAGAAGGCAAACCAGTCTCAGCTGGGCTACTAGCTGTGCCATGGCTGCTCGTCCTTATCTGTGACAGTCATCGCTTTGTTTCTGTCTAGACTGGTAAGCAGGCTTGTGAGTAATGCCTCCCTAAAACATCCTTTTGTTCTCCATCAGAGCCCTCCCAAGGATCCCCTCAAATGGTACGAAGAGACTTTGGCTTAGCTGTAACACACAGGTAAGCAGCACTTACAGAACAAGTGAGAAGTCTTTTCCCCACCACCACTCGACCTTTTCAGAAAGCACTAAAAGGGTTCAGCCTGTCTGTAACTCCTTACAAACGTTAAGCTTCCTTTAGACACTAGTTAACATCATTTTCCCCTCTTGTCTCTACTTAGGTTCTCTACTAAGTCTTGGTTATCTCAGATTTGCCAAGTCTGTCAGAAAAGCATGATGTTCGGGGTGAAGTGTAAGTACTGCAGGTAAGCACAGAGTGATGATCTTTTCCAGAAGAACTTTGCATTTGATCCATTAGTGTGCCAGTGACACGTATCTCTTGCTGTGATGCACTCTTAGCAGTGGCATTGTTTTTTTCAGCCAGCTTCTGAAGTGGCAAAGGGATGCTTTGGCACAGCCTATACCTGGGTTGGCAGTGTGACATGTGGATGAATCTAATTTATTTCCCTGCCACAGGCTTCCTACCTGAGCATGGGCAAGTCTTGTAGTGGGAGCTGGGTACTTAAAAACAGAGAGGATTTTAGTTTTTGTTTGTCTGCCTGGGTTGTTAGTCCCCAGCACTGAGATGTTAGTGCTTCACTATGGCTGGATGGGAGTTCGGGAGGGTAACTATAGTAAAAACAAATGAGATGCTAAGATATGTACATGGCTGCCATTAGCCTAATGACACACAGAATAGGATTCTTCATATGAATGCTGCTGCTTTGGGGCCTGAGCATTCCAGAACTCCCTCTGAGATTAGCATAAGAATTACAAATTAAGGGTAGGCTTCCTCTTTTTGGAAAAGAACAAGTTCCTATTTAAAATGTAATGTTTCTTTTTCAGATTAAAATGTCACAACAAATGTACTAAAGAGGCACCTGCTTGTAGAATATCCTTCCTTCCCAGTAAGTAATTTTCTACAAATTTGTAGCATTTCAATGTAATTGACAGTCTCACAAGAATAAAAAGTCTGATTAAAGCTCTTTTCTCCTTTCAACCTGTTTTTCAGTAACAAAAATAAGAAGAACAGAGTCTGTCCCTTCTGATATCAATAATCCAGTAGACAGACCAGCAGAACCACAATTTGGAACTCTTCCCAAAGCACTAACTAAGAAGGTACATGGTGACTGAAGTGAGTCTTGTGTCTGTAAGTCACTGAGGAGCTGCAATAAGGAGTGTAGTGGTTATTACGTTCGCCTCACACGCGAAAGGTCCCTGGTTCGAAACCAGGCAGAAACAGAAGTTTTTGGGGATTTTTGGGGTGTTTTTAAAGACCTGTGTCCATCCCATCACGAGTGGGTCCCCCCGAAGTCATAACATCTGGTGTAAGGAGAGGTGGCAGCAGTGTCTTGCTGGTTGGAGCAAGATTGGCACCTTGAGCTTTCACTTTGCGAGCAGACTTTGATACGTGACATTTTCTCCTGGTAAAACACAGCTCCAGCTGCCTACTCACTTAGAAAAACTATGCTATGATTGAGGCCAGGGACAGCTTTCCTCATTGAGGGGAATTCTTTCTTTTTATTGTCTCCTCATGAGTGACTTTCTTTGCTTTGCAGGAGCATCCACCAGCAATAAACCATCTGGACTCTAGCAGTAATCCTTCTTCTACAACCTCATCCACACCATCTTCTCCAGCACCTTTCCAGTCTTCCAACCCGCCCAGTGCAACGCCTCCTCCCAACCCATCTCCTATGGGCCAGAGGGACGGACGATTTAACTTCCCAGGTAAACTTAAATTTTTCAGGAGCCCTCTGCCAAGACCAGAAAGGCCCCTGTGCAAGCAGAGGCTGACCAAGAATTCATAGGTCGTTGCAGGTTTCTGAGTACATGGTTGTGTCTTAAGCAAGGTGTGAGGGTGTATCTTGTTACCTGATAAAAGAAGACGGTCTGTTCTTAAAAGTTTTAAAGTGGTATCAGCAAGATACCTTTGCAGGAGACAAATTACTGAGGAGTGCTGGCACCTTTCTTAAGTGTTTTGATCTTTCTATTTCCTTCTTTTTTGAAAAGGACTAAGAAAAAAAAAAGTATATATTCTTTCTCCTCCCTTTTCTGATTGTATTGTAAAATGCATGCTGCCTGCTGTGTTTGGTCACAGGTGGCTCTAAATTATGAGTTGATTGCTAAAGCAAAATGTGAAAATGAGAGCTGGGGTGAATGACTTTACCAGTCTTTTCCAAGATAACCACCAATCAACGCTCATTTTTAAACCACTGACACACACATGGTGGAGAGGAATTTACCCTACATACTTTGCAGATTGAGGACCCAAATGCGCAGTCGTTACCAAAGCCGATAGAGGCAAGGATCTCTGACAAGGGCAGAGATTTTTAATGCCTTTGAGCTGGAAATGAAGTCACTTGCTGCTCACTAGCTGCTACATCTAGCCTTCCACGTTGCTGTATTTCACATCTAGCTTTTGATCTGAGTGAAGGTTGCTGTTTTAGGCTCAAAAGGAGCAGCAGCAGAGACAGTTTAGTACAGGGCTACTGCAATTTGTATTAGGACATACTGTTCAAATTCACTGAAATGAAAAAAATGCTTGAAAATGGTTCATGAGCTTCAGCTTCTCTGAGTGCACCTCTGGAAAGGTGAAGATGTGAGAGAGCTCTGGACCAGCAGCTTTACCCAAGCCTGCCTTCCAGCATCTCCGGGTTCTCTACATTTCCTTCTGCCACTTGAATTCTGAATGGGTTGTTTTCCCACCAGACTGTTTGCTTATTGGTAACATAGCTTTCATTTGATAAGCATCGTCTGTCCTAGTCTTCCGAAAATGCATGTGCTGAGATTCACCCCCTCCAGCAGGCTGATAATCTACTAATCTGTTTCCCAGCAGCGGGTCGGGACTAATTCGTTGAATGCATATGGGGCACTTACTGATGATCCTCTAACTTGTGTTCTTTTTTTCTCCTGGTAATTTTTTTTTTGCTGTCTTTAAAAAAAAATAAAAATTAAAAAAAGCTGCCTACTACATTCAGCATAGACAACAATTTATCTTCCCAGGTGAGTTGATTGTTTTAATTTACTAACGAGCTTCTGCTGCCAAAAAATGACTTGTTTGTAAACTTCTGCATGCTGCCCAAGAACAATAATTCTGCTTTAAAAAAAAAAATCTAAAACAATTAAAACTTTCTCTTATCTTGGTATATAATTCAGGCCTCTCTCTCCTAATGGAGGTAATGATGTGATGATTTACACACTAAGATGAAACTTCGAATACTCAGTTGTAGAACAGCAGCTTTCTGCTGTGGGATCCTGTACGCAGCCAGGTTCTTTCTTTCCAAAGGCTGGCTTCCAGGGTGACATACTTGGCGAGAATAAATGGCCACTGTCGGTTCACCTCTGTGAAGGGAGGCTCTCGCCTGTGGGGTTTAAGAATGATGCCCCACTGTTCATACTGGGTTTGCACGTGCAAACGCTTTCTCAGTCAGCTGTTCATGAACCCTCAGAAACAGCGTGTTTGTTTCCAAAGTGAGAAGTGATGATGTGGGATGCCAGGTATAGAGGGTTTATTCTGGGTTTTGGAAGGATTTGGAACCCAAGCTTTGTTTTCTGTGCACTGGTGACACTGGGCAGACTGGGTGCAGTTGGAATACATGGCCTGCAGTACAGCTGAATGGAAACATCCCAGTTCTGTGAGGATTTCAGTATTTCAGATTGTGCAAGGCAATGTGAAGGCACGTGAGCAGTTCACAGACAAGGACTGACCTTGAAAGTCATTACAGATAAGCAGGTGAATGGGAAAAAGACTGGGCTTGGTCAATACAGGGGCATGGAGGTACTAGGAAAGATAAGGACAGTTTTAAATGAAGAGAAGTATAAAATCATACGGGCTGTGGTTGGGTTTACTTTAAAATTCCTGAATAAGAAGCAAATAATCACTATTGCAATGTTAAAACTTCCAGTCTGTAAGAGATTAAAGTGTAAAATTTGTATCATAAATGCTTCTACTTTCCCAGAAATTCCCAGTCCGGCGCAGATAGCACAGCCTCCAGAAACAGCTGCAGACACTAAGTAAGTATAGTTTCAAATTCTTTAATTTGCACCATTTTACCTGATAGTCTTCAGATCAGTCTGAAAGAGCTATGTCGTGACCAAAACTGAACTTATCACCTAAGAACTCATGGGATAATTTCAGTCATCAAGGGTGATACTGGTATTCCCAGTTTTATAAAGCCGAATATTTACTGTAAAAGGGACAGTAAGAAGTCCCTGCCTTTAATACCTAGTTATGGCTATGTGTGCATTCCCAAGATCAGAAAGATTCGATGAACTAGAAGTTACAGAGTTCTATGATTTAAAAGAGCTGACACACTTAGCTGCAAGCAAGCGTCTTTTTCAGGGTTTGAATTGTAAGGCATGCAAAAGATTTCAGCCCACACTGCCAGCACTGCCAACTGCTTCTCCACTGTGGGTGTTCCAGTAGTAGCCATAGAGGCTACTGCTACTGGAACACATCGAAATAATGCAGCCGTGCCGCTGCCAGATCAATTCCTGCCACTTAATCACTGAAAATCACTTCAGAGTCTTTGTCCCTTGTTTGCCAAAGCAAGCTTAGAAAGCCCTTATCTGGTCAGTGGAGCAGTAATTGTATTTTTCTCTGACCTACTCTAGTGCTATCAAGATCTGTCCCCTACTTGCCTCTTTCCACACCACTCATGGCACCTGGAGCAGCCCACTTTCCTAACTCCAGTGGCTATGCAAACGTTATTTTCACTGTAAACTTGTCTTCTCTTCTTAGTGCTGACCAACAGCCTGACACAGATGGAGTTGAATGTGAAGCAGAGGTAGGTTTTCTGGTTTTCCCTGTTGCACAATCTGAAATGCCCCGCTGGAAGTGTAGTAAGAGGGTTGTGGCCCTGGAATGATGAGAGCAGACCAGCTGTGCCTCACCTCAGTTCCGCTGAACTGTTTGGACTGCGAGGATCTCAGCTGAGGATCTGTGGTTTCTGTAATGAGGCTGAAACACCAATGTCCTCGCCTGCACGCACTGCCGTACAGATCTATGTCTTCTTGTAGCCTTCTGAGAGGCTTGGTCCTGTGAGGTGCATTTCTGGAGCTGCAGTCAAACGTGTCCGTCCAGCCCCCTGAAGTTCTCCCCCAACAGCCTTTGGGGCTGGCTGGTAGGCTGCTCCTGCCCCTCAGGTGAGGCTCTCAGCAAATGCTTCCCTTCTCTTCTTGTAAACAGGTGGAAGAACCAGAGACTAATAAATCAGAACCTGAAGATGATGAGGATGAGGTGGAGGATTTGCCAAACAGACGGCCGCACTTGCAGGGGATGATCTATCGCAAACCCAGCCAGACCAGCGTCTACCTGCAAGAATGGGACATCCCCTTTGAACAGATCGACCTGGGGGACCCCATTGGCCAAGGACGATGGGGGAAGGTTTACAAGGGAAAATGGCATGGGGAGGTGGCCATCAGGCTGCTGGAGATCGATGGGAACAATCAGGATCATCTCAAGCTCTTTAAAAAGGAGGTGATGAACTACAGACAGACCCGGCATGAGAACGTGGTACTTTTCATGGGAGCATGCATGAACCCTCCTCATTTAGCAATCATTACCAGGTAAGGATACAGCATCTTTGAATTTTTTTTTGTTTTTATATATAAATATATATCAAATAAAATACATAGATAATATTTATTTTTATATA